TTTTTTCCTGACACTTGCCGAAGAGTTTGTCTTGGAAGCAGAATTCACTAAAATTGGTCAGCTTAACATATTTTGCTCAACACTAGTCAGAGTTACGAATATTTTTGGGTAAAGTTTTCAGCAAAGTTATTATTATCCGCACAGAGATTCCGCCCACTTCACTGGGAATCCATCAACTAGGCATCTGTCACAGCGACTCCTGGTATGTTCCTCGAGCCCCAGGTAGAGAGGACTCTCAATATGCTTTTCATAGGCTGGAAGATCCGGGCATCTAGTATATCATAACCTCACACAGAACCATGGAGAAGATCCTATGCCAGCGGTTGGCCACTCCTCCAGCTTTAATATACACATAGCGACCCTTGATGGGTTGAGGACATTCCACATGCACACGCTCCCTGTAAACAAAGAAATCATAGACAAACAAATGAATGTCATAAACACAGGTTGCTTACACAAACAAATCCACAGGGATAAACGAAAGAGTTATGTTTTTTTATTAAATTAAAGTTATTTATTATTAGTTATTTACAGTTATTTACCATTTTTAAGCCTGGTAAATCATTCACCTTATTTGATAAAACTCTAATTTGATTTTTTACACACAAAAGTGCCTATTTGCGAGACTATTTAGTATATCTGAGAACATTATAGTTTACAAAGTGAGAGATCATATTGGTACAATATTCGACTGTGTTAAGGAACAAAAATCACAATAACGGGACTGGAACACTTCATAAATAATCCAGTCTATCGAGAAGAAACTCTTAGACGAGGTTGAGGTCCATCAAGGACCATTGATACAATTCGATAATGGTCGAGGCCGGACCGAAACGTCGTCCAGAATTCTCTCTTGAGAGTGAGGGTTATTTGTGAAGTGTTTGGCAAACTTGTCGTACTTGAAGAGTGCGTTGTTGAGTCTGGTGACGGAGACGCACTTCTTGTGGTCCTGAGAAGTCGGTGCGTCAAGACGACGCTGATTCTCCACGTAAATGGTGAGTCTGTCCAGACCGAATACGTAGTCTCGATACAACGTCTGCTGGTCTGTGAGGGATTTGGTCTGTTATGCTACGCTAAAGTTAATGAAAAGATTTTAAAACCTGGGAAGATAAAAGAATGATTACAAGCCTTAGGTACACAAGTCTGAACATTCCTACAACAATGCAACAATGCAGTTTAATAGACGTTCACAGTTCGGTTACAGAAGATGTTGCCTGATAATGCAATAAGAAACTTTCTTTATGTTATCACTAATGAGTACCTGTCTAACTTAGACAAGAAAATGTAATAATTACAGTCATTATCAGCTTTTATGAGTGTAGGACCACCGTGATGCTAATTTGCTAATGAGCTTACACTGGTGATGGCATTGTTACCTTTGTTGACACCAGATACTGTCATACTGTCATGACAATGAAGACTTTTACACTAACTTACTCTTGTTGTATTTGTGGTTATCCCAGACCTGGCACTCAACATCTGTGGTTATCCCAGACCTGACACTCAACATCTGTGGTTATCTTCACACTGACACTCAACATTTCCTCTCTTACAGAGTTTGTAATTTGTAGATGAATGGTTCAGAGAACCGACATGTTGATAAATTAGACACAAGTTCATTCTCCTCCTGTTCTTCAAGTTTCTCCTACGTATGGACTGATGAAGCCACTGTGTGGCGAAACGTTTCCTCAATAAAGATACCCAAGAGTTGAACTTGTGTCTAATTTATCAGAGTTTGTAATATTAATATTTTATTGCGTTCTTTTCAAATGAGTTGTTTCATTAATGTGCTTATATGTTTTATTAAATATTTTCCCGTTTACTATTCTATAAGAGAGTTACATTGTAGGAATAGCAGTGGACTGCTACACTGTTCTGTTCCAGAGTTCCCAGGTGGAACACCACCTGTGTTCCGTAGTTTTCTGGTGGAACACCACCTGTGTTCCGTAGTTTTCTGGTGGAACACCATCTGTCTTCCGTAGTTCCCTGGTGAAACATCATCTGTGTTCCGTAGTTCCCTGTGAAACATCACCTGTGTTCCGTAGTTCCCTGGTGAAACATCACCTGTGTTCCGTAGTTCCCTGGTGAAACATCACCTGTGTTCCGTAGTTCCCTGGTGAAACATCATCTGTGTTCCGTAGTTCCCTGGTGAAACATCACCTGTGTTCCGTAGTTCCCTGGTGAAACATCATCTGTGTTCCGTAGTTCCCTGGTGAAACATCATCTGTGTTCCGTAGTTCCCTGGTGAAACATCACCTGTGTTCCGTAGTTCCCTGGTGAAACATCACCTGTGTTCCGTAGTTCCCTGGTGAAACATCACCTGTGTTCCGTAGTTCCCTGGTGAAACATCATCTGTGTTCCGTAGTTTCCTGATGAAACATCACCTGTGTTCCGTAGTTCCCTGGTGAAACATCATCTGTGTTCCGTAGTTCCCTGGTGAAACATCATCTGTGTTCCGTAGTTCCCTGGTGAAACATCACCTGTGTTCCGTAGTTCCCTGGTGAAACATCACCTGTGTTCCGTAGTTCCCTGGTGAAACATCACCTGTGTTCCGTAGTTCCCTGGTGAAACATCATCTGTGTTCCGTAGTTTCCTGATGAAACATCACCTGTGTTCCGTAGTTCCCTGGTGAAACATCACCTGTGTTCCGTAGTTCCCTGGTGAAACATCACCTGTGTTCCGTATTTTCCTGGTGGAACACCACCTGTGTTCCGTAGTTTCCTGGTGAAACACCACCTGTGTTCCGTAGTTTCCTGGTGGAACACCACCTGTGTTCCGTAGTTCACTGGTGGAACACCATCTGTGTACCGTAGTTCCCTGGTGGAACACCACCTGTGTTTCGTAGTTCACTGGTGGAACACCACCTGTGTTCCGTACTTCCCTGGTGGAACACCACCTGTTTCTTGTGGAGAACTGGTTAAATAACTACACTTCCTTCATGAAACAAACATATGACAAGTGTTAGTTATCTTTGAACAACATGATGTCCCTTCGGGGTGCCGTTCCAGATTCCACAGTGGCTGTTGATTAATAAGTGTGTTAGAAAACACTTTGCCCCAAAGTAGCGTATATCCAGCATTTCACTATCATCTGAAATGCTTAGCGGTACTCACTTGGGTTTGGGTGATTCACCCACGCGTCACGGGATCTATTTGTAACTCCAGTCAAAACTCACCTCTACGTATTAACTGCAGGTAACGTAATTAGAAGTGGGTATGGCTGGACGTACCTGGGTATTGTAACTGACCCAATATCCCTGCCTTACTCGTTGATATGGAGTCACTTCTTTCATAACACCTGAATGCATATTGCGACACAAACTACATTTACTGAGATTATATCGCGGATGATGCACTCTTGTTTCTTTTTATCACTAGTTTTCCTACTGGAGGTTGACAGTATTTCAGAGTTTACTGCAAAAAAGTCATTGTTTTCTTTGCTCTCTGCGGGGGATTTGTGACGTGTTCACGCTCTGATATCTGAATTCAACCTAACTTGTCGCTCTGCCTAAGCACCCACCAGTCACCCTCCTCAGAAAAGAACTGCGAGTTCAGCTTTATATCTCTTCCTTACTACGCATTGCAACAGTATCTAGCTATAGACTAGAATTCCTAATAGTCCTAACTTGTAGATAAAGTGGGGCACAGATTTTCCTTTAATTTTCCTGCTGTGGAGAAAAGAGTAATTACTCTCGTTGAACCTCGTTGTGTAGTTGACCAGGAACTCTAGCAAGGAGAGGAAGCCGTGTCTCGTGATGATAGAGTACATACATGTATTTCTCATATAACTGTGATGGAAGAGCCCACTAGCCCCTTCCGGGATGGCTAAGGCCCTCAGAGGGCTGAGGGGGGCTGAGAGGGCAAAGATTCCTCCCTCACTGGAGAATTTTCTCCATATTTCTTGCACTTCTACTACCCTCCTTGTTCTCTTGACTGCCTTGCCTTCTATACTTCTTCCATTCTCTAGCACACTTGGTTTTTGCCTCTCTACATCTTTGGGTGAACCAAGAGCCCGTCCTGGCCTTCTCATTATATCTGTTGCTCATGGATACAAACCTCTCCTCCGCTTCCTTGCATATTGTTGTCACATATTCCATCATCCCATTTACTGTTTTCCCTGCTGGTTCTGTGTCCCGCTGGACAAAGTGTGTGTGTGTGTGTGTGTGTGTGTGTGTGTGTGTGTGTGTGTGTGTGTGTGTGTGTGTGTGTGTGTGTGTGTGTGTGTGTGTGTGTGTGTGTATTTACCTAACTATACTTGCCTAACTGTGGTTGCAGGGGTCGATTCATAGTTCCTGGCCCTGCCTCTTCACTGGTCGCTACTAGGTCCACTCTCTCCCTGCTCCATGACCTTTATCATACCTCTTCTTAAAGCTATGTACAGATCCTCCCTCCACTACATCACTCTCAAGATTGTTCCACTACCTGATAACTCTGATTCTGAAGAAATGCTTCCTAACATCATCTTAGTTTCTAACTTTCAGTTGTATCCTCCGTGTTCCTATGTCCCATCTCTGAAACAATCTGGCTTGTCCACCTTGTCAATTCCTCTCAATATTTTATACGTGGTAATCGTGTGCCCCTATCCGTCCTGTTCTCCAGCGTCGTCTGGTTGAGTTCCCCTAACATCTCGTAGGAAAAAAGCCTTAGCACCGAGACTAGTCTTGTTGCAAACTATTGCACTTTCTCCAATTTCTTGACGTGTTTCACCAGGTGTGGGTTACATAATGGTGCTGCATACTCAAATATGGGCCTGACGTACACAGTTTACAGTGTTGTGAATGAGTCTTTAATCTGATGTCGAAACACTCTTCTTAGGTTTACCAGGCGCCCATATGCTGCAGCAGTTATTTGTTTGATGTGCGCCTCAGGAGCTGTGCTCAATATGATGCTCACCCCAAGATTCTCTTCCTTAAGTGAGTTTTGCAGCCTGTGACCTCCTAGGCTGTACTCTGTCTGCGGTCTTCTTTGTCCTTCCCCAAGCTTCATAACTTTGCACTTGGTGGGGTTAAATTCCAGGAGCTATTTGTCGGACCAGGCTTGCAGCCTGTCCAGATCCGCTTGTAGACTTACTTTCTCCTCTCCCACTTGTATTCTCCTCGTTATCCTCACATCGTCTGCGAACAGGGACACCACTGATTCTATTTCCTCCTTCATGTCATTCACATATATAAGAAACAGCCTTGAACTAAGAACTGACCCTTGTGGAACCCCACTCGACACATGCACCCATTCTGACACCTCATCACGTACCATGATTCGTTGTTGTCTTCCTGTCAGGTATTCCCTGAACCATTGCGGTACTTTCCCCTGTTATTCCTGCCTGCTCTGTTAGCCTTTCAACCAGTCTCTTGTGTGGTACTTAGTCGAAACCCTTCTTACAGTCTAAGAAGATGCCGTCTACCCACCCTTCTCTCTCCTGTCTTACTTCTGTTACCTTATCGTAGAACTCCAGTAGGTTCGTGACGAAGGATGAGTCTGTGTGTGTGTTTGTCTGTGTCTGTGACTATCTGTAATCATGGAAGATGAAGAGTGACAAAATAACTATGGAAAGATCAATTATTACTGAGATAGACAGCTAGTGGAGTGAGTCTACCAAGATTTCTTGGAGCCAGAAAAATACTGCAATACTAACAATTAAAAGTAGTTAGTTTAATAACTTTCTTATGCACCCCATACACATCCTGTGGGCGGTAGTCAAAAGATTACAGAGATACATAATGGGTCCAGGGACTGAACCCCAGCAAAGTTTTGATAGCTGAATAGGTTACAGTGGTAATGAACTATTTGCATATTTATATTTGGTTACAATAGTTGTGAGTTATTTATACGGATATGAATTAGGTCATAATATCGAAATAATTACACAAACATTACCTCATATTTTAGCAAGGTAATCTTGAATTAATATTAAGTTTAAGTCGTTATGAGAGAGAGAGAGAGTGTGTGTGTGTGTGTGTGTGTGTGTGTGTGTGTGTGTGTGTGTGTGTGTGTGTGTGTGTGTGTGTGTGTGTGTGTGTGTGTACTCACCTAGTTGAGGTTGCAGGAGTCGAGTCCGAGCTCCTGGCCCCGCCTCTTCACTGGTCACTACTACGTCATTCTCCCTGAACCGTGTGCTTTATCATACCTCTGCTTAAAGCTATGTATGGGCCCTGCCTCCACTACATCGCTACATTTGTGCGTGTGTGTGTGTGTGCTCACCTAATTCACCAAATTGTGGTTGCAGGAGTCGAGACTCAGCTCCTGGCCTCGCCTCTTCACTGAACGTGTGTGTGTGTGTGTGTGTGTGTGTGTGTGTGTGTGTGTGTGTGTGTGTGTGTGTGTGTGTGTTTACTCACCTATTGTGGTTGAAGGGGTCGGGTCTCAGCTCCTGGTCCCGTCTCTTAACTTCCTAGATTCTAGATTCGCTCCCTCATAGCCTCATGGGCTCTATCATACCTACTCTTAAAACCATGTATTGAGTCTGCCCCCACCACTTCCTCACCAATATCATTCCACTTCCCGTCTACTTTGAGACTGAAGAAATACTTCCTAACATGTATGCGACTCATCTGTGACATAATTTCCATCGGTGTCCTCGACTTCCCGTTTCCCGCCTCTCAAACACCCTATCCCTCTCTACCTTGTCAATTTCCCGGAGTATTTTGTATATTGTTTTCATGTCGTTTCCCTGGTTCTTCTGTCCTCCACTGTCGTTTGGTCTAATTCCGTTAGCCTCTCCTCGTAACTCATACTTATTAGTTCAGGAATAAGATTTTCTACAGCTTATGCACTTTCTCCAACTTCATAAATTTTTTTTCAGGTGCACACTGCAAGACGGCCTCACGTATGTTGTAAAGCGCCCGTAGTGACTGCTGAGATTCCTGAAAGCAACTTTTAGATTTTCCAGACGAGCATTGGCTATTGAGATTATTCTGACGATGTGAGCCTCGGGAGATATACTGAGAGCTTTACCCACCCTAAGAGGCCTGGTCGCAGGCCGGGCCGCGGGGGCGTTGATCCCTGAAATCCTCTACAGGTATAACCCTCCCCCCCAAGTCTTTCTCTTTAAGTCTGCAGCCTCTATCTATCTATCTAACCTATACCCCGTTTCCGGTCTTTTTGCTCCTTCCCTAACACTCGTGACCTTGTATTTACTGACCACTGTGTAATTCTAAGTGCATGTACACTTTAATTAATGTTAATTGCAGCCTTAATGACCAGCGCACAGCCGATAACACTTAAACTCAACTTAATAAGTAACTTACTAACCATCCATCAGACTACTCACCTTGTCCGCGCCCTTGCCAGGTGAGGATGACTAGCCCCCTCACCATCCGTCGCTTCCCCAGGTCTACCATCCACACGGGTTCATCCACATGGTAGTTATCGATGACGGCGCAGGAGCGGAGGGACGTGTCAAGCCTCCCGTCTACGGCTAGGCTGGAGGGACCGTAGTCCCAGCCTGACCACGCATGACGCTTATCGTTGACCCAAGTCTTCCCCTTGTAAGCGATGTTTTCCACTGTGGGATGTGACGTATAGGTGATAATAATAATAATAATAATAATAATAATAATAATAATAATAATAATAATAATAATAATAATAATAATAATAATAATAATAATAATAATAATAATCTTTTCCCCCAGCCAACCTGTTGCATAGCTCCTAACGAAAGGCCTACAGCCAGCGCTTTTCAATTCTCTAGTGGTCTGTTTTGCATTGTTGAAATCGTCAGGTTGCAATTAGTTTACATACATACTCAGTGACCACTTTATTATGTATACCCTTCAAGTACTGTGTACGGCTTATCTTTACCCCCAGAACAGCCAGAATTCTTCATGGTATGGAAGCAATAATGTGCTGGAAACATTTCCTAGAGATCCTGGTTCATGTTGCCATAACAGCATCAGCAAGTTGCTGCAGATTCAGCTGCACATTGATGCTATGAATCTCTTCTTCCACCACATCACAAAGGTTTATACCAAATTTTGACCCTACCATCTGCATGTCGCAGCAGAAATCGCGATTTATCAGACCAAGCGACGTCTTTCAAATCTTCAGCTGTACAGTTTTGGTGAGCGAGTACCCACTGAATCCTCAATTTCCCGTTCGTAACTGACAGGAATGAAACTCAGTGTGGTTTTCTGCTGCCGTAGCCCATCAAATTCAAGGTCCGACGTGTTGTTTATTCAGAGATGCTCTGCTGCATACTACTGTTGTAAAGCGTGGTAATTTGAGTCATTGTTGCGTTCCTGTCAGCTTCAACCAGTCTGGTCATTCTCCACCGAATTCTTTCGTTAACAAAGTGTTCTCGCCCACAGAAATGCCGCCCATTGGATGTTCTGTGGTTTTTAAACCATTATCTACAAATTCTAGACATTGTTGCTCGTAAAAATCTGAGATCAACAGTTTATGAGGCGCTCACACCAGCCCGTCTGCCATCAACAATCATTCCACGCTCAAAGTCACTAAGATCACATTTTTCCATATTCTGAATAAGAGCTGAACGTCTTGACCGTGTCTGCATGTTTTATTGACTGAGGTGCAACCTCGTGACGGGCTGATTAACGAGCAGGTGTACAAGGTTACCTGATATTATAAAGTACTCACTGAGTGCGCGCATATATATATATTTTATATATATATATATTATATATATATATATATATATATATATATATATATATATATATATATATATATATATATATATATATATATATATATATATATATATATATATATATATATTAACTTACATTATGGGCACACTACTACGAACATCACAAAAGGAACAGATAGGCTCTGTTTACAGAAAGAAAAGTAAATAGAACACAATATGAGAGTGGGCGTGTAATGATGATATGTTACACACTGTTACTTGTGGCATAACGTGACTCATAAAGTGAGTGGCTGCACCAGAACTCCAGCAAAAACTATTATGACAAGAATGTTCACTAATTATATATGCAAGAATTTTCCTAGGCGTGAGAGGTATAAAATAGCGACTAGCTGCAAGACAAAGGCATTGATTGGAAAAAAGAATGAACTTTTTATTAAGAATGTTTCACTTTTTTTCCCTTCTATGGAGAGTACATGTGATATGTAGGAACACATAGACGGAGGGAGGATTTTAGAAGTGTGGGCGACCTACATGGTGAAAAACTGCAAGTGTCTAGTCGAGGAGTCTGCTGAACAAGAGGAAACAGTAAACCGAAAGTTCCTTTATCTTCGTATGGGTTTCAAGGTACCTCAGTTATGTTAATAGTACAAAATACCAACGAGATAAGAAAAAAACACGTGTGCAACACTTAGGTATCTTTGTGGCCAGAATATTTTTCCTACATAACAGACTTCTTCAGTTGAATCTCTGATTTCATGCCCGTTTGACCAGTTTTTGTGAGAGGACCCGCAGGTAAACACTACCTGTCAGGGCACGCAATTCTCGCAGCTTCATAACCTTACTGAAACAAATAATGTGATGCCAGGCTAAAGGTCATATAGAGCAGCGTATAAGATTAAGCGGATCAGAATACTGGTGAGTTACACGAGGATAAACGAGATCACAACACTAGAGAGTTAAGAGTTATAACAGAGTGCTTGCTCATAAGGTAATCTACTGAAGTAAGATACCCCAATCTCTGTCTGTCTGTCTTTCTGTCTCTCTCTCTCTCTCTCTCTCTTGGTTTGAGAAGTTAAGAGGCTTAGCGGCTACCCACTGAGAAAGACGTACTATAACTAAGCTTCACCCACTGACAGCTCGCATCAGTAGCTCACAAAACTCTAGTAACCAACATGGCCGAGTCCTCTTAAAAGTTTTCTTAATATTCTCTTGACTTAGCAGACGTTTTGGAGATTATAGATGAACATACTGTGACTGTCAACTTCGAATCATGACGCTTATATCGTGTGAAGCTGTGGTATAATATAAGTAAGTAAGTTTATTCAGGTATACACAAATACAGTTACATAGATTATTATACATAGCAGCAAATGTGTAGAGAACCTGGGATAACCCAAAAAAGTCAAGGTTAAGCTGAGTTTACCGTATTGCCTTATTACGCAGCGATTATTTTGCTAGTGTATATACAGGGCTACATACACAGAGATATGTATGTCTCTCAGTGACTATCAGAGTATTCTTGACTGGTGTCTAACATGTGACACGCAGCCTTCATGACCCTTGTGTAGTAGACACGTTTTCAAACCCATTAATAATTATAATAATATCTATATTTCTACAGGTACATGTACAAAGTATACAGTCCTAGTTGACATCAATGACATACTACTATATAGAAAGTCGCTTGTTATGCTGAGCATTTCTTGCAAATTAGGTCAGTTTTGTCCCAGGATGCGACCCACACCAGTCCACTAACACCCAGGTACCCATTTTACTGATGGGTGAATATAGACAACCAGTGTAAAAAAACAAGCTCAATGTTTCTACCCTCGCTGGGACTCGTACCCGGACACTCACCGTGTAAAGCGAGAGCTTTAGCCACCAGTCCACGGTGCACCATTTAACCAAACTATTGTGTATATTCATTATAACAATAACTGCATGAAAATTTAGCATTTCTCTTTTGTTAATAAATCCTAACTAAATTTTGTGACAAAACATAGGTTGTGTTAGATTGAGATAAACTATATTACGTTAATTTTAACAAAGTTAAACGAGGTTGCTACATAGTTTTTTTTTTCTTGTTTCTTTTTTTTTTAAGAAAAAATTAAACTTTTGTGCATTAATGTTAACTAACAAAATAAATTTATTAATGCATAAGTTACAGAAAAAAGACGAAAAGGCACAATAGCCTGACTGGAACAATACACAAGTGACCCGTACGTAGCAGAACACTTGTGATACATTATGTGGGGGAATTTTACTGACACAATCCCAAACTAACATTTCACACACACACACACACACACACACAAATACACACACACACACACAGACGAATAAGCGGCCAGGCACTCGTAAAAGCTGTAGTACACGCTCACACACACATACACACACACAGTGATGTAGTGGAGGCAGGAACCATACATAGCTTTAAGACGAGGTATGACAAAGCTCTGGAAGCAGAGAGAGAGAGAGAGAACCTAGTAGCGATCAGTGAAGAGGCGGGGCCAGGAGCTGAGTATCGACCCCTGCAACCACAATTAGGTGAGTACACAACTGGGGAGAACTCTCCTGCTATAGTTGTACCTCTGAAACAGGTGTAACTTAACAAGAGTGTCACTGTACTATCCCTCCTCCGATGCTCACCTCGGCTCCCTAAACTCACACATCTGGACCTTAAATTATGTGAACGTAGAGATCTTAAAATAATTACATGAAATTACCAGCCAGTAACACTGGCTGTATTAAATTTGGTTGTGGATTGTACATATTACTGAAAAATTATTTTGGACTGAACAGCGGGTAATTTGTTGATCCATAGTTTAAACTGATTATATATACAATTTTAACATTACATAAAATTAAGTGAGTGTACATAAATCCAGAAAATAAGAATTATTTACAAAGTTATTTCTTGGTGATATATCTTAATGCCTCCCTAGCTAGTATTAGCCAATACTAGCAACTACCTATTTGTTGGGTTGATAGCATATGTAAGACAGCGAAATTAAATTACTGTAGGTCCACGCAATGATCATCATGTTGTCCTGTCACCGCCTCCAGTATTATCTTAATTATCAGCCTTATTAGGACCAGATTGTTACTTATCTCAACCCTTCCAGATACCTCTTATATACATTCAATTCATGGCCACCAATTATTGCTGACACATTCTTCATCGGCTTCGATTACCCACGATCCAATTCTGCAACATTTCCCCGTTAATGTACACGTTCCGTCATTTTCGTTGGTCTCCTCTGTTTGTCTACCAGTGCATCTTTTCAATTAATTTAATAACACTTCCAGGTGTGTACTAAATTTTCAATATTGAAATATTAATTTCCTCTTAATTACAATAATTTTCACTTTTCTTACACAACTTTATACAGAATATATGGAAATAATAGAGAATATTAGTTCTCATGACACGGAACATCTTTTAAAAATCACTCAAGATTCACCAGATTTTGTAAACACTGTTATCCCAGCAGTTCCTATACACAAATTACGAGAAAATTATCAAAATTTTCCACAAGAATTATGACGACATTTTGACTCGACTTGTACCATTAAGTAATTACAAGTTTCTTTCTCCTAAGTGAGGTTTATTTGTGCACAAGATGTATTTTCAAAAAGGTGAAATTTTCAGGGCATCTCGGCTTGTTTGACCGACTCCGCCTGACCATCCCATAAATAAACATGAATATGTAACGGTATATTTATGAAAGCAGCACACTGGCGTATTTGTTCCTGTAAACAGACTATAACTGTGAATACAGGATCTGAACCAGAACTGAGGTTCTGGTTTGAGATTCTGAAATGTATAGTTGATAAATATAAAATAGTATGACACAGCTTTGTATTTCTGTTCCTTATTATATTGAGATCTT